AACATTGAACATTGCTATTGAAAAGTATGATTATCTACCTTTTCCATTATAAATCACTTGCTCTTTTGTGTGTGTGTGTGTGTGTGTGTGTGTGTGTGTGTAGATGCCCAATGATTTTTAAATTGATTTCTTTTTCTTAAGTCTAGTAATTTTTCAAGAATATGTCTTAGTATTTGTTGGTCTGGGTCAATATTCTCAGTTATGTCATATTCTCTTTTAATATGTAGTTTCAAATCTTTTTTTTAGTTTCAGGAAAAGTCTTGAATTACAGTTTTTGAAATTTTTTTGTTCCTTTTCTTTGCATTTCTTCTTCAGGAATTCCTGTTATCTGTATTTAGGTCTTCATAGCCTATTTTTAATATCTGTCTCTTCCTCTTGGGTATTTTTACATTTTATTTCTTTTTTCTTCCACTTCTAAATATTATGATTTAATATCTGGAGTGGAAATGGAGCTCATAATAGGAGCCTTCACATAGATATAGACACAAATAGTCATAGAGCTATATAGATACAGATTGATATAGATGTATATGTACATCAGCTTTACTAAGATATAATTCACATACCATAAAATTCACCCTTTCAAAATGTATTATTCAGAGAGTTTTAGCATATTTATGGTTTTAAAATTATCCCCACTATCTAATTTTAGAACATTTTCGTCACCTTCACCCAAAAAAATAATCTCTCCATATTTCTGCGTTTCTTTATTTAATTTTTTTCTTTTTCTTTTATATTTTTCTTCAGGTATTCTTTATTGCGTTTATTGTTCTTGTATTTCATATAGTTTTGCCTTTATTTCTGAACTTATGTTTTTCTTTTCAAGTTTCTAATTCTTTCCTGAATTTTTCTAATTTATATCTATGTTGTTTGATTCCTGTCTTGTATCATTTTTTTTAACATCTTTTAGTTCACTTCTAACCCATAGATTACAATTTTCTTCTCCTTTGTGGGCCTTCTGGTGTGGTTTCATGGTAGGAATGTCACTCTGTTCCTTATTCGCTTTTCTCCTAATAACTTTCTATTGGATTTAACTTAAAGGTTTTCTGTTAGTCATTTTTATATGAAATTAGTTTTTATTAAGGTAAAATTTACATACAATAAAATGCCCAATTCTTAAGTGTTGGGTTTGATGAGTTTCGAGGACTGTATACACCATGTAACCATCATGCTAAATAAGATTCGGAACATTGCCATCAGCCTGTGAAGTTTCCTTGTGTCCTTTTTAAGTCAGCCCCACTCCAGAGGCAACCACTTTCTGGTTGCTATCTTTAGAGATTAATTTTGCCTGTATTAATGACTATAATTGTATTAATTACTATAATTAAGTCTAAGAATTTTGTTCTTTTTCAAAATCATTTAGTCCATTCAAGATCCCCCGAATTTCCATATAAATTATAGAATCATCTTGTCAATTTCTCTAAGTAAGCCTGATGGGATTTTGATAAGGACTGCATTCATTTATAAATTAATAATCATCTTAACAATATTGAGTCTTCTGATCCATGAACATGGTATACCTCTCTATTTATTTCTCAGCGCCCTGTTGTTGTTATTTTCAGTGTAGCAGTCTTGCACACATTTTGATAGATTTATATCTGGGTATTTGATGTTTTTTGAAGCCATTTGTAAATGGCATTTTAAAATTTCATTTCCACTTGTTCATTGTTTGACTAATATTTTAGTAGAGTCACTCTGGCTCCTGTGCTGAGAATATAATATCGGCAGTGGATGGCAAAAGCAGAATCAGGAAGACCAGTTAGGAGGCTATTGAAATAATCTAGGAGAGGGATGATGTGGCTTGAGAAAGGGTGGCAGCAAGTGGTGTTGAGAAGAACGTAGACTCGATAAGATTTTCTGATGGATTGGATGTCAGTTGCAAAAGAAAAGTCAATGTAACTCCAAGGTTTTAGCCTGACCATTTAAGAAGGTGAAATTGCCATTAGCTGAGGAGGGAAAAATTGAGTGTGGAGCAGTTTGGATGGAGGGGAGAGATCAGGGGCTCAGTTTTGCACATGGTAAATATGAGATGGATATCAGAAAACCAGTTGGAGAGGCGGAATCATCAGTTATATGTATGCGATTAGAGTTTGGGGGTGAGGTCTGTGCTGGCATATACATCTGGGAGTCGTGAGCATATGGATTGCATGAGCTCATTGAGGGAGCGGGTATAGATAAGGAAGGAAAGAGGCCCAAAGCCTGAGCCCTGGGTCAACCCAACCTTAAAGGGTCAAGGAATAGTGGGAGAATCAGTAAAGGGTGGAGATGCAGCAGCCAGGGGACTGCAAGGAAAACCAGGAGAGGGTTCTGGGCTAGAAACTAGGGGAAGAAGGTGTGTCAGGAGGAGAGAGTGTTGAATGATGACGATAAGATAAAGCAGATAAGCCCTGAGAATTGACTTAGCAGTGTGGAGACTTGGTGACTTCGACAAAAACACTGCGTTAGCATGGTGGGGCATAGCCTGACTGGGGGAAATCAAGAGCCAATGAGAGGACAGGAGGTGGGGTCAGCTCACAGAGACAGTTCTGTCAGGGGGACTTTCCTATGTGGATGCGCAGATATTTCTTGAATTACTGGAATAACTCAATACATAGAGCTTACAGTGCATGTTTTCAACAGTGGGGCTGCCCTCGGCATCTGTGCTGAGGAGCACACGAGCTCCACTGATGAAGTGTGTGCCCAGGAGAGGGGAGCAGGGGAGGGCGGTCTCTGTCCTGACCTGCTAGGAGTTCCTCAGCCTGCCCTGTGGTTGTGACTTCCTTATTCCAGAAACCACCTGCTGATTATAGGCAGTCCTCTGAATCTCCCACAAGAGCTCAAAGTCCGCTTCACGTATTAACCTCTTTCTTCATAGATCCATTTCTTTGGGAGCTTCATGAAGACTTTCCATTGACCCAGTGGTGTCTATGCCTCATTTGATTGGGACATCCTGGGTCTGTGTCCTCTGCCCCACTGGCAGGCTGTGGCAGTGTGAAGGATTACAATCCTGCTTTCTCACTCACACGCACGTTTCCGTGGTGTGACTCCGCTCATATGTGACCGGAAGCAGAAGGAGTGACATTGTATGACGTGGAAGGTGGCTTGTTCATTAGCGAAGTGTCCAGGCAAGAGCAGTGGGGTGGGAGAAACAGAATCAGGAGGGATGAAGAAAGCCCCCAACCTGTCTGCTGTCAGTATTTTAAGGACATTTTAAAAGAGCTCCTGCACCCAGGCCTCCCTGGGGAGAATGCTCCCAGCCCCCCAGAGCTCTCAGCTGCAGGTAGGTGTCACCACTGCCTCCCATACCCACCTTTGTGACAGCCCCGTGTCTTCCCTCATCACCTCGGCAGGCCAGCTCTGCGGTAATTAAGGTGTTGCCAGCATGTCCTGTTGGTTTTGCACATTCGAAATATTTTCTGTGGCCTTCTGTGGGGTTCAAGTTCATCTCCCCAGGCACCGTTCTCCACTTTCATTAGTGCCTGGGTTTTGAGGGTCTGCCCCAGCCCCGCATCGCCGTAAGTGCTATCTATCCGATGATATTGCAGGACGTGGGTATTTTCAGGAGCACATGTTCTGTGTTCAAGCAGAAATCCCCACTGTCTCTTCAGTGGGGGGCAGGACCAGGAGGAGGGTAAGGCTCTGGGAGGCCCCTGGGGTGCAGGTTGGGGAAGCCTCACATCCTACTGGATCCAGCAGAAAAGGGCCCCCATTGGGCAGAAATGTGGACTCAGGGCAACTCATAACACTAACAGCCCCTCACACACACACACACACACACACACACACACACACACACACACACACACACACAGCTCAGGGCGTGGCCCCCTTACAGACCAATAGTTACCGAGACTTCGGAACTTACGATTCAGAACTTTTATAATTTACTGGTTTTTCCTGCATATTAGAAGGAAATTACCAGCATTTCTTTTCTGGGTTATGCCCTACCCTAAGGCTCAGAGCTCCCGCAGCACAGCTGGGGACCCCCAGGGCAGGAGGCAGGATTCAAAGAAGGTTCTTGAGCAGGTGCTGCTGACGGCAAAGGCCGTGCAGACAGAAAAGGCTGAGCAGAGGTGGAGGGGGCCTCCTGAGTGTCAGTGGGACGAGAAACGCTCCTCTTTGCTCCCTGTGCAACCTGAACTCAAGAACAGGGTGCGGCTGGAAGGATTTAGGTCTGACACCCCAGCAATTCAGAGTGACCCAGGGAACACCGAATGCTGATAGGGCACACAAGGGGGATGTGCCAGGTGACCACTGAGGCCCACAGAATCAAAGCTCATCAGGTTCGTAGGGCCGGACCGCAGAGAGCATCCGGCCACGCCTTTCCTGTTTCGGATGGGGAAACTGAGGCCCAGAGAGGGGCAGCCACTTGTCCAAATTCACGAAGCAAATTGGAGAGAGAACCAGAACTAGCGCATGGTTCTCCTAAGACTGATCCCCTTAGTCTTCCCGGGCCTCCTGGTCACCCTGTCACTGGTGGTCAGCTGCCTCCTTCTCACTGTGGCTGGGACCCACCACCCCCACAGCTAAGCCCTTGACAGTTCTGAGCGCTTTCATGGGCCCAGCCCTGCCCACAGCACCGAGGACTCAGGGATGGCTCAGACTTTGTGCCCACAGTGCTTGCTGCTCATACAAAGGGGCCAAACAAGGGCCCTGTGAGAAATTCTGTCCTGTGTCTGGAGGGATGGACAGTGAACAAACAGGTGTGTCCACATTCCAGAAACAAAATGATCAAGCAATAGATTCTGCCTGGTCCCAGGGAATGGCATCAACAAGGCGCAGACTAAGACCAAGACTAAGAACCAGAAGCTGTTAACACGTTTATCATGTTTTGCATGTTTAATGATTTGATCCTTTCTCCAACCAGGTGCTCTTATTATGCCCATTTCTCTGATGATTGGGCAGGTACCTGGTGTGTTAGGACCACAGCGGGCAATGTACCTGAGTGGGCAGGGCAAGGGATGCTGGGGCCTGGGAACGGTAAGGCAGCCCTGATCACCCCCGCCCTGCACTCCACGCAGGTGCAGACATTCCACGGAGACCTGCTGCAGCACATGGAGAAGAACACCAAGCTGGACATGCAGTTCATCAAAGTGAGTCTGGCCACTCACCTCAGCCCCTGCCCTTCACAGGCAAACCAGGTTATACGCGGTCCCAGCTGGGCCCCTGCCCTCAGTCCAGTGTTCTGACCCGTGGGCTGGATGTCTGAAGCTCTTTGACGTGGGGGTCTCCCTCCTCTGTCCACCCCACCCAAGGACAGCCGCCAGCACTACGAGATCGAGTACCGCCACCGAGCCGCCAACCTGGAGAAGTGCATGTCTGAGCTGTGGCGCATGGAGCGGAAGAGGGACAAGAATGCGCGGGAGATGAAGGTGCCGGGGCCGGGGAT